TCCCAAGCATGATGTCCCTCTCCAAGGACTGGTAACTCCTTGCAACATGTCCAAAGTATGTCAGATTAAGCCTCAGAATCCTTGCTTCCAAGAAGCAGCCTGGTTTAACCCTCTCCAGGACAAATGTTTGTTCTCCCAGCAGTCTATGGTATATTCACTACTTTTCTTCAACACCACAGCTCAAAGGCATCAATTTTCCTATTATCCCTTGTCATTTTCCAGCTTTCTGATGCATAGCAAATGATTGCAAAGACCATGACCTGAATCAGAGACACCTTAGTCTCATTGCTCTTCAGTACTTTGGAGAGGTCTCTGACAGTACACTTTCCCAACGCAAAATGTCTTTTCATTTCTTGGCTTCTGGTGCCAAGAGCGTTGATTGTGGAACCAAGCAAACTAAAGCTATTTATGATCTCAGTCTCTTCACCATTTATCACAATGCTGCCAATTGTCCCAGTGGTGAGAATCTTTTTTTTTCTTGATGTTGAGCTTCAATGCATATTGAAGGCTGCAGTCTTGACCGTCTGCAGTAAGCACTTCATATCCACTTCAGTTTCAGCAAGCAGGGTTGAGTCATCTGTGCAATGCAGAGTGTTGATGAGTCTTCCTCCTGATGCCACATTTCTCATAGAGCCCAGCCTCCCAGGTAATCTGTTCTGCATACAGATTGAAAAGTTATGGAGATAGGACACATCACTGGTGTACACTCTTCCCAGTTTTGAACTATACAGTGTTTCCTTGCTCAGTTCTGACAACTGCCTCCTAGTCCAAGTACAGGTTTCACATAAGCACTATTAAGTGTTCTTGGATTCCCATTATTCTTAGAGTCAGCCACAGTTTGCTGTGGTCCATACAGTCAAATGCCTTTGCATTGTCAATGAAACACAGGTAGACATTCCTCTGGTACTCTCTGCTTTCAGCCAAGATCCATCTAACATTAGTGACATTATCCCTAGTACCACACCCCTTCTAAACCCAACATGCACTTCTGGCAGTTCTCTGCTGATGTGCTATTTCAGTTGTTTTTGGATAATCTTCAACAAAATCTTGCTTGCATGCAATATTAATGATATTGTTCGATAATTTCCACACTCTGTTTGATCACCTTTCTTTGGAATGGGAACACTCTTAATTTCTCTAATTTCTTGCAACAATATTAAAAGATAGGAGTTATAATTTATATTTAATCATTGAAATAATGTTGAAGTTCAGAAGTAACATGTTAATATTCCTCACTGTGTCAGATATATTGAAGATATTCAATAAATTTACTTTTCTAATATTTTTTCTTCTCTCTTCACCTACTGCTTCACTAGGAAAAACTCTTACATTAGAACCCTTGAATAGGCCATTGACATCTCTGTTTTTTTGAAAGAAAACAGACTCTCAGAGGTTAAAAGCGATTTACTGAAACTTAATGGGGTGGCCAAGTAGCAAGAAGTTGTGCTGCAATCCCAAAGGCACGCGGTTCGAGGCCTACCAGGTGCGCTGCAGGAGAAGGATGAGTAATCTCCTCCTGTGAGATTAAATGCCTCTGAAAATCTGTGGGAGGGTCAGCTATGGGCCAGTTCTGACTCAACGGTACATAACAACAACACAACAATGGTATATTTAGTTCAAGTCTACCTCGAGAAAGAACAATATATAAGTCTCCATATACATACTCTTAGAACTTCTGGAAGGTCATGAGATGCTCTGTAGAGTTCACTGTTATGAATGTGTATTACAAAATGAGGGTGGTGCAGGTTGGTGCAAGTTTTCAAAGTAAGGATGGCTCAGACTAAGACAAGGTTCTGTTCTTTTGTTCATTGGGTCCCCATAAGTCGTAGTTAACTCTACAGCAGCTAATGAAAACAAAGCAAAACAAAAATGTCTTTGAAAGTCATATAATATTTGTGTTCTAGAAAAAAAAATTTTGAAGTGGTTTTGTGCATTTAATGTCATCCTGTTTTATTACGTGTTGCATTTTAGAAACAAAATACACCCCGAAAGCAAATCCGTATCTGATCTGAAATCTTTGTGAATAAACAACTTTTCCACTCATCAGGTAGCTACTGTGTTTTTCCTTTGTATCAGTATCCATAGTAGATTTGAGGAAACCAAGAAGTATATACGGAGTAGTCTTGGAAGAAGGATTGGCCACCCACTTCTGAAATAGCAGGCCTCTGAAAACCCTATGCACAACAGAACACACGCAGATTAACAAAAAGGGCAACCTAGGTAGAACCATCAAGTATGGAAACACAAGGAAGGAGGAACAGCTGTAAGCAGACCCTAGTGATTGGTACATGGAATGTGAGA